ATAAAACAAGAGATTTGGAAGCGTTTTGTTACAGTAATGCCTTGAATTTCTGCCTGATGTTCTCTACACAGGTTGATACAGAAGGAGACTGGTGTGTTTAGGTTACTATGACGGTTAGAGGTATTTCCTGAATCGAGCATGAGACGTTTCGTGAGAAGTAATGCAACTAACGTGACAATCAGTAATGAAGCTGATGATAGGATCGACTAATATACGCAGCAATAAGGTACACCTGAAATTCAATTACGGATATCATTTGATGCTGACTTGCTGGATGATCAACAGTATCGAAATGAAATATCAAAACTTTGTTTTCGAGAGCAAACAGACACGCAAACAAATCAGCAGTTTCGTCTTCTAGCGCAATGAGATATGCTATATTGCTGTATCGAATGCTCGAAATCAAATGTTAAGGATTGATTCGACCTTAGCTACTTATGTCCAAAGTAATACCAACCTGACCACACCGAGTAAATGTGTCAGTTCCACAAAATTTCGAATGAAATAACAGTGATCACGATGAATCACCAGACAAATGCACCACAGAACGTACGAAAATGATAGTCCTCCGAAAGTGCCAACGTTAAGTGTCAATTTCCATAATGGGAATCGCAAACTGTTTTCACTATTCGCACCAACGGTGCCANTTTTGATTTCTACGATAAGCGAATCACCAGCGGAAGTGAGTTTCTGCTGGCCCGACGGAACAGTGTTAACATTGTGAATTTCAAACGAGTAGTTTTGACACCAACTGGAGGTTGCGAGCTTTTTGAGTGGTGGAAGGTAAACTGTACAGAAGATAAAGCAGATTACGGAGCCGGCAGGCACGTACATGTGATAGCGAAGACGATAAGTGTTACCAGGTAAACGATGACAATGATAACGTATCGAAGTTGAAGCATCACAAAAAAGCACGTTTCGTACTCACATCCTGACCACTGATGCCACGATTGTATTTCGACGAACGCCAGCGCAAGGAATGCTGGAGATACCATCACGAAGAATAGCACCCAACTGAATCTGGCAATACTTGTCAGTACAACTGCACTCCAACACTCCACCAATGTATCCAAGATCTTAGCCAGGAGTCTACGATTACCTTGAGCTGTGCGAAGCAATTGGCTATTCATATGTTGTAGTGCATATAACATATGAATAACCAAAATTTGGTCCATCTTTTCCATCGTTGCGAACATCAGTTAATAAAAAACTAGTTTGTGAAATGAGCTTTGAGGAAATTCCTTATTGAAATGCTTCTTGTTCACGTAAGTTCTTTTTCGTCTTAACGTTTCAAAAAAAGGTCATATAAGTAAGTTTTAAAAAGTCTCATCAAAAAGTCCTATAAAAAAGACAAAAAAGCCTCCTTATGACGGTTCAGCTCAGTCGAAACTATTGCTCTTCCAATTCTTGCAAGCCGAAATCCCGTTGCGTCATTCTCAACANTCAGTTTAATCGTGCAATGTTTATCACGTAAACACAAGTCAAGTCTTGAAGGAAATCACACGACAAAATTGGCTCACCTCAGGAACATCAAATACACGCAACGTTTCATCGTGATTACTTGACGATAACAGAACGGTTTCCAGACCGACAGAAACTTGACGATACTCAGCGTAACATATGAAACCATCGCAGACCAGAAACCACCAAAGAAGAGAATTTCCATAATCGTAAATATGTTATGGCTGAAGTAAATCATCAAAACAAACAGCGCTAAATTTGTAACGTCCCAGACAATAATGATGCATCGCGTCTTACGTGGTGATTGCTGATGATGATATCAGTCACACAAACATTACTAACTAACGAGTAAGTTGAGGTAACACCAATGAAGTGACGACCTACTTGACGTGTTCAACGCTCAGTACATAGACTGATGTAGCCAAGGCAGTTAAGCAGCTTAGGAGGTCGCCAAACGTTCGATTAATCAGCAACGCGTAACACTTTCGACTGACACGCTTCTTTATGATTATTCGGCAGACAACAGTAATATATAATACTGCCAATATTATGGCTGTGAATAGGAAAGGCATCGAAAGCCAGCCAAAATAACAACGATACATTGAATCCAGTCGTTCCACTCGCTTCATCTAAAATCATGCAACATTTTGCACTCCTATGACAACATACTGGTCCTTATTGGTTGTTCAACGTGATACTTCATAGATCCGCGGAATCATTATTTGCTGGTTTTCATTTATCACTACTTCGTTGTCGTCGTCACCCATTAATCAGCAATCATAGGGGAACCGGAATTCAGAAATTTCCAGGCGAAACAGCTATGGATTTGAATTGGTAGTGCATTATGAATGGTGACAAACCACCCATTTTCCACAATCAGTGGGTGTTATTCAAGGAAAGGCACTTAAATTCTTGTTCAGTTCATTTCAGAAATACGGATGACACGGTCTGGCGATACCTTTTTAAACAACCACTGTCCGGTTGCAGGCAAATCCCAATTCGGCAGTTTAGTTTTATCTCACAGAAATTTGATCAGAGAAAGATCACAAATAATTTATCAGTTGAGTTCGATTGAGCTACTGGTGTAGGCAAATGAGTTGGCCTTGTATCATGAGAACTAATAGTTAGATATAGCAACAATGAGACACGTACCTTGAACGACGCTATAAACTCGTCGGTATGGTTCACAAAGCATTCCGTTTGCACATCAATTAGGCTCATTTGTGTGCCTTTTGTATGGCTGCGATCCGCTCAGAACGGTACAAATAATTTTTGATGACAAGAGCAAATGCAGCAGAAGCGGCAGTGAAAATTGGCTCCCGAATTAAAATACTTTCGCAGATCTCAAACGAAAATCACTCTGTCTATAAGAAAGCTATCAGAAGAGGTCTTCACTATGAGGAGAAGAACAACATTCGTGGTACTAGTTTGACTCCGCGTTGGTATTGCAGTATATTGTGATAATATCACGATTACTGGGCAGTTGACGATATGATAAACTAACTCCCTAGGGTAACTGAGAAATTATAAACCAAGAGT